CGGAGAAGATGGAGAGAAAGCTGCGCGTGAGATAGAGAAATTGGGCGTTGAGGCTAAGAAGAAATCGGAGAAGAAAAGAGTCAATTCAGAAGCTGAGGATGATGCTAAAAAATTGAAGAAGAAGAAAAACAAAGAGAAATGTGTTGATTTTGAGGCTGATGATAATGGTGTAAAGAAATCTAAGAAGAAAAATGAAGATAAAAAGGCCGATTCTGAAATTGATGATGCTGTGAAGAAATCGAAGAAGAAAAATGAAGAGTCAGGGACCGATTCTGCAGCTGATGATGCTGTGAAGAAATCGAAGAAGAAAAATGCCGATTCTGAAACTGAGGATGTTGTGAAGCAATCGAAGAAGAAGAAGAAAAGCAAGAGGGAATCTGGTGGTGATGAGATAGGAAACAGTGAAAGCTCCAAAGTTGACGAGGGCACTGATGATGCTAAGACGAAAACGGGAAAGAGAAAGCGTGATGATAACGACTTGGGAGCTGAAGAAAACACCGAGAGCTCCAACAAGGAGATGAAGAGGAAACGTAAAAAGAAGAAGTCAAGTGTGGATTTAGAAGATGAAGAACACAGCTTTAGCTCTGCAAAGACGAAAAGCAAGGAGAAGCAGTCAAGTGTGGATTCAGAGGTTGAAGGAAACAGCTTGAGCTCTACTAATGATGCAGAGACGAAACAAACTGAGAATTCCGAGGCTGAAGAAAGCAGCTTCAACTCTACCAAAGATGCAAAGAAGAAAGGGAAGAAGATGAAGAAGCAGAGTGAAGGTTTAGAGCCTGAAGATAACAACAGTGACGCTACGGAAGTTGCAAAGAAGAAAGGAAAGAAGAAGCAGAGTGAGGCTAAAGAAAACAACAATGGTGGTGGAACTAAAGAAGCAAAGAAGAAACGGAAGAAGCAAAATTCCACAGAGAGTGAAAAAGACGTGCCAACAACACCATCAAGCAAAAGCGCAAAAAAGGTGAAATTTTCTGATCAAGTTGAAGTTTTTCCTGCTGAGGACAAAGAAACCGAAGACGAAGAAGAAGAAGCTGAGGTGGTGAGAGGTAAGCGGTTTACAAAGGAAGAAGATGAGCTGATAAGGAAAGCTGTATTAGACTACATTGACAACCATGCTTTAGGAGACGACGGTTTAGACATGATCTTGGAGTGCAAATCACACCCACAAGTCAAAGGCTGTTGGAAAGAAATCACAGCTGCTTTACCTTGGAGGGCATACAATGGCGTGTACAACCGTGCTCATACCATCTTCGAAGCAGGATCATCCAAAGGGATATGGACTAAAGAGGATCTCGAGCTCGTTGTAGAGTATCAGAAGAAGCACGGGAATGATTGGAGAGCGCTTGCGGATGCGATGGGGAAGAACAGGAAGCATGTGAAAGACGCGTGGAGGAGGATAAGACTGACTTCGAGGAACAAAGGACATTGGTCGAGGGAAGAGTATCAGAGTCTCTTTGATCTTGTCAACACTGACTTGAGAATGAAGGCGTTTCATGAGAAGCACTCGAAACATGGGATGCTCAGAGATAACATCCCTTGGATGGCGATAAGCGACCGGCTTGGAACGAGGACTCACGTTGATAGCTGCACGAAGTGGTACGATAAGCTGATGTCGCCGATGGTGGCGGAGGGAGTATGGGCTAACGTGGATGATTATAGGCTCTTGGACGAGCTTACGAGCCTGGACGCTGCTTGTATTGATGATGTGGATTGGGATACGCTTTTGGAGAATCGAGATGGGGAGGCTTGTAGGAAGCGGTGGAACCAGATGGTGCATCAGATTGGTTTGCCGGGAGCCAAGACGTTTGCGGAGCAAGTTGAGATCTTGTCTCAGAGGTATTGTCCTGAGTTGGCTGAGGATAGAGAGGATTTCGACAATAGACCTTTTGATCCTGAAGATTAAGTCTAGAAAGTTTTTTCTTTTTTGTTGCTTTTATGTTCTACAAACTTTACTGTGATCTTTATGTTTAGTGAACTGAAAACGATGAGAATTTTTGCTATAATCCACAACCAATGATGTTAGCCAGAAGTTGAGTTACAACTTACAAACATGAATTTTGCATATGATAATGTGAGCTTTAGATCTGCAGCTGTTGAGAACCACTTGAAGCAACTCAAACGTTAGCTAAGGCTCATACTTTGTACAAGTTAACTTTGATTCTGAAGTATCTAAGGTCAGAGATAAACATTTGATGCAATTGAAACTTAAGATATGGTTTGCAGGATGTGAGATTGAAGATGAATCTCTGACTTGATAGCAGAGAACACTAAAGAACAAAAGCAGCAAAACAGAGCACAACAAGGATTCCTTAGATGTGTAACTTTTTAGTCATTCATTCCAAGGAATTCAATTCATCATTTCCCAAAAGGGCTTAGAGATTAGATAGTCACACTTGTGATCAGATCAAGCCAACAAAAATCTTGTCAATATCTACTACAAACGAAAAGCAAGAAGTCTCGAGACTCTCTTAACACCATCTCTAACAGACTTCGAACTATCTTCAGTAGTAGTGGTTCTCAGCGAGCTTCGTACTGAACAACTGCAAGAGATAAAACAAAGGACCACATAATTAGCCGGAAAGAAGTTGACGACATCTGTATTTTGTACAAGAAAAGGTAAACCGGAATGTAGTTGATACAAAGGTACAAACACTCGAGATAAATTCAACTCATGGCTATAACATTTGTGTTCTTTTGAGTGAGACACATTTTGAGATTGTGGCATCACAAGACGAAAGAGGAGTCAAAGAAAACAAACTGACCTCTACGGGTACGCTTCTTGTAGAGGATACGGTAACCACACTCTCTGCATTGGATCACATCCCCTGACTTGAGAGTGTTCTCTTGTCCACAATCTTCAAAACATTCAGCAAAAAAAGTTATGCAAACGATCAAATCAAACAATGCAGAAAACAAAAGCATGAATGATCAGATTGATTTATGTCCTCTAACTAACCAGGTATGAAATTTCATATAAAGATTAGGATTTGAAGGCATAATATATTTTTCCCAAAACTAGTGTGCTATGAGCTAGAAACGAAAAGCTCCCATCTTTTTACACAACTATTAAGTTTCAACACAAGAATTCGATATTCAATGAAGTTTTCAAGAGGAAGAAGAGAATAGTCGAGCTTACCTCCACAGACGTAGGTAACAGGTTCGGGAGGTGCATCCATGATTATCGAATCGAAACCTATTTACTCAACAAAGGAAAGGAACAGAACAGAATCAGATTTTCTCAAGCAACCACAAGATCAAGACGAAATTTCTCAGCTGTAATTGATTTTTTCCATACTTACCTTAGAGTTCTACAGAAGTAGGGCTTCTGAAGTTGATTTCAAGAGAATTCTGTTTCGGAGACGAAGAGATCTATAATGTAATGATGGCGTCTGGTTTTAACTTTGAACATTACTCTTTCGTTTACCTATGGGCCTTATTAAGAAGCCCATAACATTTGGGCCTCAAAATAGGTTTTAGAAACGCCCGCTCAATAGTTTCTTGTAGCTCACGTTTTGAAACATTCATGAAAATTGCTACTTTTTGTGTTCTACTACTATTCATGCCAAGCTATAAAAACTATGAAAAGTTTGCATTTAGAGTTTTGCCATAATGCACAAAACATTCAAGATTGATAATGTTTACGATGGTCCAAAGTACATACAAATGGGAGGATTGATTCTCAAGATTGAAAGAACCGCAGACGGAATAGTCCAAATTCCATCGCCACAGATCAAACCTGAAGCAACTGCACTCGAGTAATCATCTGCGTCTTTCTTGTTCATACGTTCCCACACAAACAAAATCACAGTTCCAACAAACATGTCCACGGCGAAGTAAGCTCCAATGTAGAACGGAGCAGCCATAGCCATAGGAAGTGGTACAAACTTAGAGATCTTTAACGGCGTAACGTCTCTGACAAGATTCACAGTCAGAGCAGCCACAAAGAATCCGCAACAGAGAGCCAAACAATGCTTAGGAAGTTTCGCAAACCCTTCGATCCCGAGAATAGCCATTTCGCGGTAGATAACAGCGTAAGGAGCCTTGTAAAGACCATCAGGTTCTCCAACGTCGAAAGCAGTCCAAAACATCCAAAACGTGAGAGGAGCGATGACGCAACCCATCGCTGTGCCTAGAAGCTGAGTCACAAACATGGACTTTGCAGATGATAACGTGAGGTAACCTGTTTTGAAGTCTTGCATGAGATCTGCTGCGGTTGAGACAATTGCCATCATAAGTCCACAAGCTGCTAAACCGGCGATGACTCCTCCACCGCTGTTTCCTACGACGGAAGCGATTGTGAAGAGACCAATCTTTCCGTATGTTGAAGGAAGGCTCATATCCGTGAGCCCCGCTCCGTAGGAGTTGCAGAAGGCGAGAGCCGGCGCGATCAAGTATGAACAGAGGACAAAGTACCATTTCAATGGTGGGAATATCAATGGGATTGTTGCGGTTGAGATTGCTGCAAGACACACATAACAAGAAACCGCAAAGCCGAGTGGTATAGGGTCTTTTAGAAATACTTCATCTCTCTTTAGTGATTCTGAGGTCTCGCTCTCATCTGTATCAAGAAACTCTTAAGAACATGTTTGTGACAGAGACAATTACTTGAAAATGCTATGTTTTGGTCACCTGAAATGTCGGTGAAGACAGGTAGGTGTTGTTGTTTGGAGCTTTTGTTGCAGAGTTCCTTCACAGTGACAACGATGATCTTGATGAGGTTGTAGAGACCATCACCAAGGATGATAGTAATGGCGATAAAGACCTAACTTACCACAAGGAGAGTATCTGTGTTACCACAAGAACTTTCAAGATATTATTTCCAAATTTGATCTGCTTATTGTACCTTATATCCGTAGAGACCTTTGAAATCGTTGGCGTCAAGGTCAGATGGATACCAATCTCCAGCATGGTGTGATATAAATGGCCAGAGAAAGCCCCAAGAAATGATAGCGCCGAGAAGAACAGAGCAGTTCACTAAATGGGGACATATCAGACCACATCCAATAAAAGTAGGACTGAAATCAAAGTAAAACCTGTGCAAGCAGAAACGTTGCCAAATTTCAATCCACATTTTACTAAACTGGACTATTAGAGAAACTATGAGTATATACTTACGTGTTCTTGAAGAGAGTTAAACCAAGTGTGGGGAAGTGATCAAACCCACAAGCATCTCCAATACCACTAAAGAACCACTTGAAGCAACTCCAAACTAAGCTTAGGCTCAGGTATTTCCCAAGACATTTAACTTGGTTTCTGAGAGAGAAACATTTAATGAAAACTCCGTCTATAATTTAGTGAGATTAAAGATGGACTCTCTGACTAATTACCCTGCAAGCTCGGCTCCAGAGTTGTCATGGAAACTGTTAATCAGCATCGCTGTAGCTGTTCCGCTAGGATACGTAAGCTTGTAGTCCAAAATCATCACCTGAGATACACACTTTTCAAAAAAGATCAAGAGAGATGATCACACAATGAACGACTGTTCTCTTAGACAGTTTATGATTATCAAAATCATGACCTTTCGAAGTGGAACGAGACTGAAGAGACCGAGGAAGCTGACTACAACTAAGAATCCAATCATCCACCACAGTCCAGGATTTATAACATCTTCTGGATTGTTTCCAGGATAATCAGCACCAATGAGCTTGTATGTCTTCTCATCCATTGCAATCAAATACGAACCAAATCCTCCTGACACACCAAAATCAAAAGCAAAGACCGATCCAATCAGAAGAAGCTAACACTACACAACAAGACTGGCATTTTCAAAGGAACAGAGAAGCAAAAATTTCAACATTTAAACGAATTAAGCATTTCTTCGAACAGTTGATGTGCAAAAATTCAAAGTTGATTTACCACTATAAGCGAGGCCGTAGCAAGCAACAACGCAAGTCTGAATAACAGTGTTCTCTTGCTTGGTAAAGGGTTTAACGCTAAACCCTAAATTCGACAACAAAGCAGTCCACGACTTGACGAAGAAGAATCCGAGAAGACCAGCAGCTACATTCAGCGAAGGAATGATTCCGATTGTGAGATTGAGCTTATGGGTGATGATACAGAACAAAATCCCCAGCAAGGCGCTAGCGATTAAGCCTCGGATTGTGATCTGATCCTTCCACTCGGGAACATCTTCGTCGTCGTAGTGATCGAGATTCGTCGCAGAATTTGCCGGTAACAATGTCTCTGAGATCTCCGTTGACTTTGGAGGAATCTCCGTCTCCATAACTAGGATAATCTACTTACTTCCTTCTCAATACTTGGGAAGCTCAAGCTGAAACCGAAATCACCTGAAATCTTCGGTCAGATTTTCCGGTAGATAAATTCATCGAAGAAGACGGAAGCGGAAGAACAACATCGTGAAGGAAAATGGTATAGTTGACTGAATTTTGCTGTTATTAAAATGGAAGCAAGTGCCACGTGTACTGATGTTAATGTGACTTGTAGTTTTAGTTTCCCGCCTTATTATTGGACAGAGAGTATAATTCTATACAGTTAAAATATTTCTCCCGTTATTCAATTGACAATTTCCTTTTCCTTTACTCTTTCCTTGGAATTTGTGACATCACAAAGAGCTCATATGACGATGGCTTAGATAGTAAATGAAGATTTTTGTAGCAGAGTTAAGAATTATTAGTATTGAGATTTACGGTCTCTACTCTCAGGGATATGTATGTGATTCTGCCAAATTTCTGTGTGCTGATCATAGCTCTGAAATCCTGAGTTTATCGTGGCTTTTGTTTATTTGTCAGGTTTTACACCTGGTACGGAGCCGACAATTGAGAAGAAGATTTTATATTTTGGATCAATTTCGCCACAGAAGAAAATAAGGCCATGGTGAGAGAAATTCTTCACTTTATATCTTTTACCCCTTCAATTAACAAATGCTTTCGTTTTCACTTATTTGATAGTTTTTAGACTTCAAGTACTATCCAACAAATTTGACCTGATTATACGTCTGATCTAACATTTGCTATACCAATTCCATTTTTGTAGGTGAATAATCACATTGCCAGAATCTAGAATAGTCCACGTTTTCTCATTTGCCATAATTTGATCGAGGTTAGTTTTGACTCTATATAGGTTAGGTATTAAATAGATCCAATATAGTCTAAAGCTTGTTAGAAGAGAATTTTACATTGCCATAATTAACTAATGAAACTTGATTGTTTTGCATAATTGTGAAAAGGGTTTTGTGCAAAATAACCCTCAAACTAAATTCTTTTTGCAAATCAAACCCTCAATTTAAAATTGTGCAAATCAAACCTCTGAAGTCAAAATAACCCCGCAATATAAGACATTTCTATATTTATGACAAAAATTAAAATGATTTTATGCATAAAAAACCGTGAACTATTTTTTGTGTGCAAATCTAACCCTCAAATTAAAAAATATGCAAGTCAAACCTGCAAAGTCGAAAGTCACTGCTAAAATGGACTTATATGTATTTTTCCTTAACTACAAGCGTCAAAACATCATGACATTTATAATATTTTAACCATTTTTTTTAAAGTATACCAAATTTTTGAATAGAGTTAAACTAATTTGGCATTCAGTTCAGGATCTCACACTTGCCTCCTCCAGTGATGATGATAACCCAAGCGGCTCCAAATCTTCGCAAGATTACAATGGAATATGTGGGTGAAGATAATTTTTCGATCAAAGGTATAACAGGAAGAAATTTATGTGCGTGACAGTGGTGAGGAGAATTGTTGGGTGGACTAATCATATTCACGCATATGTAGAGTTCAGCAAGATTTTGCTAGCTGAAATCAGATTCTGTACAGACTTGGCTATTTCCGTCAAATGTCTGCAATACATTCCTAACATCTTATTCTCATGTATTCTTTGCATTGACAGTTGTTGGCTCATCTCCAAAGCAAGATTTGCTTCAAAAATCTTTGCACATTGAAGCTCATTCAGTTCAGGATCTCACACTTGCCTCCAGTGATGATAATAACCCAAGCGGCTCCAAATCTGCACAAGATTACAATGGAATCTGTGGGTGAGGATAATTTTTCAATCGAAGGTATAATAGGAAGATAATTCTTCAAAGGCTTTGCTTGCTTGCTTCTTTACAGTCTTATAAACCAGTGAATATGGCTTCTTTTCACTTTCTCAAGCTATCGCAATAAATCTGGCGTATGGCAAACACATCACATCTTGTTATATCTCAAACACACAATCTGTCTTACTATTAGACTACCCTTTTAATAAAGATAAAGACTCACAAAAGCTCTATATATAATGACAATTTTTGATGAAATAGATCAAATTAGTGTAAGTTACAACATAAGTACAAAAAAGTGATCGGTGCTACCATCCTCCTACTAGAAGAGTCTACATTAGTACACATGTTCTATTTGATGAACATCACGTTCCATATCTAAACGACTTCACCAACTTCAAGTTTAATGCTGATACACCCTTGATGTCTACTTGAGAAGCTTGTCTGAAACAATTTGCAATCTCTTTTACTACTAGTACAATCGAAGATACTCTGCCGTCTCATCACTCATCAACCTCTGCAGCTACCACTGAAGTTCCAAATGCTGCTACTGTGAGTGAAGGACTTAGTAATGGGTGTACCGTGTACGGCAGGCTCAGATCATGAGTGACCGTAACGGGTGTAGTAATGAGTGAAGAGACCGAGGAAGCTGACTACAAATAAAAACCCAATCATCCACCACAGTCCAGGATTTATAACATCTTCCGGATTGTTTCCAGGATAATCAGCACCAATGAGCTTGTATGTCTTCTCATCCATTGCAATCAAATACGAACCAAATCCTCCTGACACACCAAGAAATCATATCAGATGACCAAAAGCAAAAGCCAAGACTGATCCAATCATAAGAAGCTAACACTACACAACAAGACTGGCATTTCAAAGGAACAGAGAAGCAAAAATTCAACATTTAAACGAATTAAGCATTTCTTCGAAAAGTTGATGTGCAAAAATTCAATTTTGATTTACCACTATAAGCGAGGCCGTAGCAAGCAACAACGCAAGTCTGAATAACAGTGTTCTCTTGCTTAGTTAAGGGCTTAACGCTAAACCCTAACTTCGACAACAAACCAGTCCACGACTTGACGAAGAAGAAGCCGAGAAGACCAGCAGCTACAACCAGCGAAGGAATGATTCCGATTGTCAGATTGAGCTTATGGGTGATGATACAGAACAGAATCCCTAACAAGGCGCTAGCGATTAAGCCTCGGATTGTGATCTGGTCCTCCAATCCGGCACATCTTCGTCGTAGTGGTGACCTAGATTCGTCGCAGAGTTTTCCGGTAACAATGTCTCTGAGATCTCCGTTGACTTACGAGGAATCTCCGTCTCCATAACTAGGATGATAATCTACTTCCTTCCTTGTCAATACTTGGGAAGCTCAAGCTGTAAAATTCCCGGCAGATTTCACCGGAAATCACCTAAAATCTTCGGTCAGATTTTTCCGGTTGATAAATTCATCGAAGCGGAAGAAGAAGAACATCGTGAAGGAAAATGGAGTTGACAGAATTTTGCTGTTATTAAACTGAAAGAAAGTGCCACGTGTGTGAATGCGACTTGTTGTTTTAGTTTCCCGCCTTTATTATTGGACAAAGAAACTAACCTATACAGTTTAAAATATTTCTCCCATTATGCGATTGACAATTTAATAGAAAAAATACATTTTTAGTCATTAATATATCTTTCAAACATTAAAAAAACAATAAAATCTCGTACTAAGTAAGTTAATAATATTAGTTTAATCAAGGATGAAAAGACATGTAGCCGTTTGAGATTTTTTCTCTTACTCTCTTACTTATTCAAAATTTCATTACCGTTGTTGGTCATCTCCTTCTCTCTTCTCTCTCAATAATCCTTGTCTGAAACATTTTCCTCCTCGTTATTGATTTTACTCAGATTCTCAGTCACAAACAACATTATCTCTGAACCACCTAATCCTATCCAGATTCTGTACATCTCTCTCACTTGTGATTCAACATGGAAAGCAAAAACTGTTCGAGGAATCTGAAAGATGCGTGAGTTTCTTTGCTCTTTGTATTTAAGTATTTAACATATCAATCCATAATACGTATCATCTCCTTATCTCTTCTCTCTCAATGATCCTTGTCTGAAACATTTTCCTCCTCGTTATTGATTTTACTCAGATTCTCAGTCAAAAACCTGACAACTCTGCTCCACAAGACAAGACGAGTAAACACTCATAAGGAGAAGATTAAGGTGAGCCTTGTGGTCTAACATGGATGCTTTTGCTTATATAAAATTTCCTTGACGAACCCTGAAACTTAACTCTTTGTTTTCACTTTTGAGGTCTGTATCCCTAAGCAAGTTTAAACCTTTCATTACAACTGCTGAATCGATGCAGAAGTTCCGGAGATTTGTCATTTCCTCATGCCTCTCTTCCACGGTAATAAACTAACTATTGATTGTTCCTTTTCCTTTACTCTTTCCTTGGAATTTGTGACATCACAAAGGGCTCATATGATTGTGGCTATTAGAAGCAGAGTTAGGAATTATTTGTATTGAGATTTACGGTCTCTAGGATATGTTTGTGGTTCTGAAATTCTGAGTTTATGGTGCCTTTTGTTTCTTGTCAGGTTTTACACTTGGTACGGAGCCGACAATTGAGAAAGAAGATTTTATATTTTGGAAAAGACTTGATCAGTTTCGCCATTGAAGAAAACATGGCCATGGTGAGAGAATTTCTTCACTTTTTTATCTTTAACCCTTTCAATTAACAAAGCTTCCCTTTCACTTAATTGATAGGTTTTAGACTTCAAATTACTATCCAACAAATTTGACCTCATTATGCGTCTGATCTAACATTTTCTGTACCATTTCCTTTTTGTAGGTGGTCCACGTTTTCTCATTTGTCATAATTTGATTGAGGTTAGTTTTGACTCCATATAGATTAGGTAATAGATCTAGTAGGGAATGTATATAGTCTAAGCTTGTTAGAAGAGGATTTTACATTGCCACAATTAACTAATAAAAGTGGATTGTTTTTCATAGTTGTGAAAACGATTTGAACATGGAATCCGGTCAGTTTCTAATTGTCCGTAAGTGGGGCCATGAACGTTTTGTTTTTACAACATAATGTGTAAAACAATTTACTTTCTAGTTAATTGAGCAAATAAAATCTTCTTGTCGTAGATGTGTGTGTTAGAAGAAGATTTTAGTTTGCCAAATTATTTAATGCAACTTGACTGCTTTACATAGTTGTGAAAACAATTCGAACATGGATTCAATCAGTTTTAACTGTTTGTAAGTGGGGCTACTGAACGCTTTGTTTTTCACATCTTAACGTAAAATGGTCGGTTTCTAATTAATTTGGCAAAATAAAATCTTCTTGTTTTCCACCTAATCACGACCCCAAATTTCTTAGATAAAAACTTTGGATTGTCGTGGGTATGTATTTTAGATTGTGAGATTAATTAATGAATTTGATTGCTTTACATAGTTGTGAAAACGATTCGAACATAGATCCAAACAGTTTCTAACTGTTCGTAAAAGGGGCTATTGAACGTTTTGTTTTTCACTCCATAATGTAAAGTGGTTGGTTCGTAATTATATTGGCATTAGATACATAGAGCTTTAAATTTTAGGAAAGAAAAATTTATAGGATTTTCTTATCGGTTAGAATTACAATATCCAGTTAGTTTTTACTACCTTTAATTAGCCTATGTAATTAGTATGTATTGTACTTCAACGTTTTATGTTTATAGATGTAATTTCAGCTTGAATTATAAAAGTTGTAACTAAAAGAAAACCCCTCGAAAGTTTAATTTAAGGAAAAGCAAAAATGAAATGTACAATCATATTTATTCATTGGCTCGAAATACACAAATGATCAAACGAGATTAGTCCAATTTTTGTGTTCCAGGTTCTGCAGCTACATCTGTTCCATTGCGATTAACAAAACTGAAACCAAACCCCATAACCTGTTGATGCAAAGCAAAGTATCTCAAAACCCAACTAAATTGTATTATCCGAAAAAAGAAATGAGTAACGTACAGAATAAATGAGTAAACAGATGAACACATTATCCGAGCAAAGAAATAAAATCGCAGAACAATTTTAGTTTTTAAGCTAAATTGCATAAAGAAATCGGAATCCCTCTTCCAAGCCTCTTCCTTTATTGCCTATTTTTCATAACTGAAGAACAAAGATCAACACTGATGCATAGCGTTTAAGTCAAGAAACTACAACTAATACATAACATGAACACACACACACAGACTATTCGGTTCACATTTTGATTATCTTAGACCAATAAGACTTACATTCCTAGCTTTATACATGAAAACAAAGAGTGTCACAGTGTTCATAATAAGAGCCAATACCAAACCTATGAAGAAAACTATCAAAGTAGACCCTTAAAAAGAAACAAACTAGTGATATCATCATATTTTACACAGTCATCTACTTTTTAGCAAACTCTTTAGCAAAAGCAATACACCAAAAGCAGAAAACACATACCAAGAACGATCTGTAAAGCAAATGTTGAAGATACAAAACATAAACCATAAAAGAAGCAATTGAACTGAATATTTAAGGCTAAGGAAAAGTTCATAGACACTAAATAAAGCAAAACCCACTTCAACAAGAATACAATACCTTTCTTTTGTAGTTTTCACAAAGCTTTGCATCTAAAAACAATTTCCTCTCCTTAGCCACCAAGAAACCCATAACTCTCTACATAAAACCATTACAAACTTCTCCATTCTCAAGCTTTTAATCTTCCATCTTCATCTGCAAAAAAAAACAAGAACCTGTTACACAACAAACACATTTCAGATTACAGATTTTGTGGGAGATATGAGTGCGGATTGGGGACCTGTGATCGTAGCAGTGGCTCTCTTCATTCTACTCTCACCAGGATTGCTCTTTCAGCTACCGGCGAGGACAAGAGTGATGGAGTTTGGGAACATGAGCACAAGCGGCATTGCAATTTTGGTCCACGCCATTATATATTTCTGTATACTCACTATCTTGATCATAGCCATACAAATTCACATCCATTTCTGATATTGGTAGTGTGCATCAAAGGCAAGCTTCTTTGGCTTCAAAGTTAGTATTTTTAATATTCTCTGATTCTTGGCTCATAGGGTTTCAAGCAGGGTGACCAAAAAAATGGTTGTACACAAATAAAAATCTGTAATTTTTGCATTCTACAATTCAATTTCTAAACTCACAAAGTACATTTCTGATCTCTTTTGACTTCATCATGTAGTAGTAATGCAACATAAAGCATCTTCATTTTGCTTCAAAATTTCGATTGTTTCCACAAATTTTCACTAATCTCTGATTCTTTGCTGATAGGGTTTCAATCAGTATCACAAAATGTTGTATTGTATAATCAAAAATCTTTCATTTCACATTCTACAATTCAATTTGCCAACTCTGAATTGCTCTAAGAAAGATCGAATCAAACATCAAATGGTATTAAGAAGGGTTCAAATTTCCATTAAACTTAATCGCAACAATACAAGGTTAATTATTAATACATTTTCAATAACTATAGAACAGAGTATGTAAAATTCTAAAAACAGAGTTCCAAATCTCAGAAGATTCCTGCAGAACCCAGATTCAAAAAAGGGTTACCTTTATCTAGCTCAGGAAACCCCAGATTAAACCCAGAAATCAACCGGTTGTGATGTGGAGATTGACTGCGAGGATCAAGATCGTGTAAGCAGCGAAGAAGATGAGAGAGTGGACGGCGATGGCTTTTCCGTTGGTTTTCATGCCGCCGAACTCTAACGTCCGGTGATGTCCCGGAAACGAGAAGAGGAGTCCTGGAGAGAGCAACACGAACAGCACAACTCCGACGAGAACCGGAGCCCAATCCGCCATTGAAAACTTGCAAAGTTCCGATAAAGCGGTGGTGAGAGAGCAAAAGGAGTCAAAAGAGTTGAAAGAAAGAGGAAAAGCCAAGGTCAGGCCTGTAATTTAATTATTATTTGCATTTTTGTATTTTTCGTTAATTTTTATTCAGCTTTATTTTAGTTAAGAAAATTTTAAATAATATCAGTTTATTTAATTTTGAAGGAAAATGTCATTATTGCCTAACTTAATTTAAAATTCGCGCAAAAGATTAAGACGGGAGTAGAGAGTAGATAATAGTAATTTTACACGTTTTGGGCTATGTTAGTGTAAAGAGTCATTTTAAACTAAATACACTAACTAAATTGATTATTTTAAAAGTATGTAAAACCGGAAAAGCAGACAAATATTGTTTTCTTTTCACGGAATATATTGATCTCTTAGCAAGTGGTGGACTCGTTGTTACTCGTCATCTAGTATTAGTTTTCTCTTTGATGTTGTAACTTGTAACTGAGTCAAATTGATTTCACCAATCAAGATCACATGGAAAAGAATTAAACCTTACACAACAAAAAATACGATCACATGGAAAGTCATAAATAGGAAGATTACTCCAAATAAACTTTATACAAAAAAAGGCTTACTCTTATTTGTTGATCACCGAAAGAGGGTCATGATTCATGTGAATCAGGTAAGACTTTAAATGTGACATAGAACCGTTACTCTACGACTTCATCCTGATTTACATCATTGTTCACGAGTTTGTCTTGTCTTTTGCATAGCTAAATGGTCACAGCTTAAGGAAATGTAATTATATTCGTGGCATATCTACAAAACGTAATCTATTCATTCCCAAATGTAGTAAATGCACAATTATACCAATCTAATAATCTTAGTGCTCATTAACAAGTAAAACATAATGTATTGCAACACTTTTTCACACATAAATAAATTATTCAAATATATTTCGTGTGAAATGAAAAGAACTAAAACAAAATGTATTCACAACACTCTTTTTCACACAACAATTAAACCACATACACCTCCACTAAAGTAAAGTTCCACTCTCTCTTTCTTCCTTTATTTGAAAAGAAATAGACTTTATTGGATTCTCATTCTCTTCAAGTTGAAACCTCCATTCTCTATTCTTCCCCCAACTAAATTCCCACTCTCTTCTCCTCAAAGCTCTCGTCTTTCTCTATATTCTCGTTCTGGTTCTGGTCCTTGTAAGAAGATATGCATGATTGGGCAGCACCGTTGATAGCTTCGGCCCTGTTCGCCTTTCTATCGCCGGGACTAATACTGCAGTTTCCGGGGAAAGAATCTCCGGTGGGTTTCATGAACATGAAGACAACGGTAGCTTCCATTTTCGTTCACACCGTTCTCTACGGTCTCTTTCTCATCCTGTTTCTCGTCGTCCTCAACGTCCATGTCTATGCTTAGCTCACTTCTCTTACACACTTTGGCGTTTGCCTCTGTTTGTCATACTTCTTTCTTTGTTCCTCTTCTTTAGTACTGCTTCAAAGATGTAAACTTTCACATCAATAACCATTTTTGGTCTAGTGTAGTTCAATAATATCGCCATCTGTGTGTTTGTGTGTATTTGATCATTAGTTTTGGTCCAAGGATTACACTTGAAGCTTTGGACTCAATTTGACAAAAGTGTTTTGGACTGGACGCACAACTCTTAAAACTCTGAAACAAAGCTTCTTATAAAAAATTAGCAAAGGCTAAAGGGTTAAATTATCACCATGAACAAAGAAGACTAAACACAGAGAGACAAGGAAAGATTCACATTTTGATGTTTTTAGCAATCGGGATTGGTTTCAGCATCATCGATTGCAGCAGAGGCAAGAACAAGCTGAGGGCTAGGAATTGTGTAAGTGTAATTCTCACGTCTCGCCTTCTTCTTCTCCCTTTGCAGTCTGAAAGATTCTCTCTTTCTTGCTCTGTAACTGTTTGGATTCTCTGGCACAATTTCTCTTGGGTACACACTGATCTGCAAAAACAAAAAAACAAGAACAAATCCCAAATTTTGAAACCCAACAAGATTAAGAAAGCTAATGAAGTTATATACTAGACATGAATGATCATAGACTTACCTTCTTCCTGTCAGGACCAAACTTCTCGAACTTTACTAATCCATCGATTAAAGAGAAGATGGTATGATCTTTCCCAATCCCAACGTTTTTTCCAGCATGAAACTGCATAACAAAACATCATTCATCAATCAAATTCAATCTCCTCAAACAAAAATCGTTTTTAACTTAAAAAAATTCTGAAAACAAGAGCTTCAAAGCTTCAAATTTCAACAGTTTCGTGTTCATGAATCGATCTCCTAAAACGGAATCTGAAACAAGAGCCTCTAAATTCGAAAGTTTCGTGCTTTAAAACATCGTTCATGAATCAATCTCCTAAAACAAAAACTGCATTCAGATAAGTTTCATCCTAAACCAGAGCTAAACCGAACAAAACCTTACAAAATCCCAGAATTGAGTTGAAATTAGAATACATTTTACATACACAGAAGATCATTGAGAAACTGAAACTCGATAATTTCTAAAATTCTACAAAATTCGTGTTATCAGAGTTACCTTGGTGCCACGTTGGCGAACGATGATGGCGCCAGGTTTAGCGACTTGGTCACCGTAGATCTTGACGCCGAGTCTCTGACCGGGAGAATCACGGCCGTTCTTAGTGCTACCAGCTCCTTTCTTATGCGCGGACTTGATTGTCAACGGAACCGGAGCTTGGAGGTTTTCCAACGGGAGAGTCACCGTGAAGGAGGTTTTAGTGGGAAAATGCAAATCGCCTCTGAGGAACGACGAGGTTGAAGAGAGAGATAAGCCTTTGAATGATCCAATTAGATTCAAACTCATAGATGTAGCAATCGCCATTGCTAAAATCACCTGAAAAACCCAAACCCAGAGAAATCTGTGGGAATTCGAAATGGAGAAATTAGGGTTCTGTGAGGATGAAGAAGAAGAGGGAATGTGAGTGTGAGTGTTCTTTATCTCCTTATCGCTTCGTCCCACTCGATTAGTGACCACTAAAATTCCACGTCATCAAATAATGGTGAGTACACGTCATCAAGTTAAAACGGGAAAGAAAAAAAATCAAAAAGAGAATGTTGACAGTGGGATTTGAACCCACGCCCTTTCGGACCAGAACCTTAATCTGGCGCCTTAGACCAACTCGGCCATATCAACTTATTGTTCATGTGAAGCTAATCATTTAAAAGTATCGTAATCAAAATAAACTTAACAGAAAATTTGTAGAGGATGATTATAAAATGTTTGAGTTAATCAAACCATCA